AGAGTTAGATGTGCGGCGATTTCCTCTTTAAGAGCATCTCTCTAGCGAGCTTCAGTGTCGATAAAGGAAAAGTTGTCGTCGGACAACTTGTTAGCCACCGGCTCGCCATCTTAACCGGTAAGGTCGTCGTCGGTTAGGTAGTACACTACTGCTGCCTTTTAAGTTTAGGGGTTCTTTACGACCGAGGTAGACTAGCGTAGCTGCTTCCTCTCTCTAGCGACGAACTAGAGGATCTCCAAGCCACGGCTGACGTCCTCTACAAGGTATCTAGCGAGGTAGTCCTATAGGTCGACATTAAACGGGGCGTTTTCGGAAGTCTTCTAGAAGATTCCGTTAGGACTCTTGTTAAGCAGTACCCTTACGGCTCTAACAGTTGNAAGATACATGTCCTGCGATGTTAGAGTGGGGCCGGTGAAGCCGACGTCGACTAGGGAATCGGCAGCAAATATGCCGGCGTTAGTACTAAACGTCTTCATGAAGGTCTTCTTCTCGAGTNGCAGACTGCGACCCTTCGTGTGCCATTTGCTGTCTTCGCGGATGGTACACCAAGGCAGGATAGCCAGGATATACCATAGAGCAGCTGCGTCGAATACGTATTCACGAAGTTGCTTAGTGTCCTTGAAGTTAAGGTAACCAGCGAGTGCGCTCCGGCTCGAGTAGAATTCGCCTTGCTTTGCCAGGTATACTACTCTAACACGACAGTCGTTAAACATTGCCTTAACGGTCTCGATAAGTTCGGGGGCGGGCTTCTATGCCGAAGCAACCTCTCCGGTGGCCGGCTGCTTTGCCGGCTTAGTCTTGCCGGTCGTCTTCTTAGCCATCGGTACGTCGCTAGGGCTAGGGCTAGGGCTGGCGGTAGTAGGCTTTTTAGCGGTGGTAGGCTTTTTAGCAGTGGTAGGCTTTTTAGCGGCGGCCTTAGTTGTAGCCTTGGCTTTCAACATGGTTGCTGTGATAGGATATGATTTAGGATGACTGAATCTACAAAGAAGGCATAGTGGTTAGATTAAGGGGGGGAAAGGTTGTCGGTAGACAACTTTTGTGATTGATTGTNAGAGACGAAAGGAAAGGGACGACGGAGTGGAAAAAGAGAGACACAGTGCCAGACGTAGCCTTGAGGTAGCACTACGCCTGAACGACTCATAGCTGGCGAGACTCTTGCGGTTGACGCATGGGATCTGAGACCTGCAGCAGACGTATCGAAGTTGGGCAAGACATGTATAATCTTGCCGCTTGAAACTGCGCGGAGTGCTTCTGTGGATGGGATGCTGCCACTTACCT